AGCAGGGTGAGTAAAGGTCTAGAGAAAGGCAAAGCTGTGCCACGTCACAGAGCACCCTTGAACCTGGACACGATGTCAGGAATGGGGCAGAAGACTTTCCCTCCATAGTGCCCATGTTTCTATCTGCTTTACCTTCAGAATGTTCAGTGTTTATTACCTGCCTTCCCCACTAAAATGTGAGCTCCTTGAGGGCAGGATCTGTGTGTCTCTGCCTTTCTCCATCTCCAGGATTCACACCCAAGTTGAAGCCACCATCACCTTCACATGGGCCCTAGTCAGTCTTGGGCTGTAACACTTACCTCCCTGCAACCCTATAGTTTTTGTGAGGAAACCACAAAAGTCAGAATAATCCTTGTAAAAGGTAAATCAGATCATGTCCCACCCTTGCCCAATCCATTTTGTGTCTTCCCATCACCCTCAGTGTAAACCAGGATGGTTTGTTCACAAGCTTCCCCAGGCCCTCTGATTCCTCATGGGACAGGTGAGTCTGCCACCTGGGCAGTGGGTCACCTTCTACTTCAGTGTCAGAGACCCAAGTATCTCTTTGGGAAGATTAACTTTTTGCCTTGTCAAGCCTGGGCTTTAATTACAGCTGGCTGACCCACAGTCTGAGGCTACAGATCTGCATCATTTTACTTTGAGTGCAAATCTAGTTGTATTGATGAACTAAGGCCCTCTGTTCAGCTCATTGATTAATTTCGTCAGATAGTCAAGATCTTAGGAATGAATGTCAATGAATTGACTGCCTGTGTAGACCATCAAGTGCCAATAACCTACCCATTGCACTGGGCAATGAAAGAAAGCTCACATTCGCGCTGAAAATACCAAGGAGGTTCCAGTTTCTAAGATACCTTTTAGCCAGTGTATGTAGATTCTTTTCATTAACTCCTATATCGGTTTGAGAACTTGGAGACTTTTTTTTAATTGCTAGTTTTTAGACTTAATTACTTCTTAAAATTCTGTCTTTTATTTAGTGCGTACTAGGAAGCAGGCACTAAGCAGAGAACTTCACGTAGATGATTTCCTCTGATCTTTGTAATAACTTTTATTCTCAGAAGTGGAAACAGATTTAAAGAGGTGGTTAGCCCTGTGTCCAAGGTTTCATAGCTAACAACTGGTAGAGCAGGGTTTTGTCTACCCTATTGCATATCCTTTCCTCTTTAACATTTCTCTACAATATTACCCAAATCAAGTGTGAAAATATAATACCTGATAAAGATTCTTGTGTTTAACACACACGTGTACATTTTAAAGCTAGCAAATGCTGGGACTGCACTTCTTAGTAGCTTATTTGAGGGGAACTGTAGGTATTTCTTTTAAAAAGTGAAATACTGTTCCTGAATGGAAAGAGAAATTTTGGCCCAGCCGGCGTGGCTCAGTGGTTGAACGTTGACCTATAAACCAGGCGGCCACGGTTCGATTCCCGATCAGGGCACATGCCCTGGTTTTGGACTCTGTCCCCCACTGGGTGACATGCAGGAGGCAGCTGATCCATGACTCTCTCTGATCAGTGATGTTTCTATCTCTCTCTCCCTCTCCCTTCCTCTCTCTGAAATCAATAAAAACATTTTTTTTTTTTTTTAAATTTTAATGATCACATTAATTTTGGAAAATAAATACATACAATTATTAAAAACAGCTAGCCTTCTATTTTAAAATCTACTAACAATGTAAAACTCTTTTTCTTATATTTATTCCCTCCACTTTAGCTCCCTGGAGTCACAGCTCAGACCATTTGTCATTTCTGTCTCAGTACCATGAAAAGAACCATGAAAAGATTTTTGCCGCATCGTGTCTGCGTACACTCGGCCTTTCCCCTTGTTATTAGGCATCAGAAGTAGCGTTGCTGCCTGTTGGCAGGATGCTGGCATCCCTGGGGCTTGGCCAAGGATGGATGGTAATGGGGTCCGCCTACTCCTTTCCTTGCTTGAGAAGTAAGCACAGAGCAAGGGCCACTGCCCCACGAAAGTGAGTCCTGTGTGGGTGCTAATTAGACCTGCCCCTGGAGAGAAGCGGGCTGTTGGTTGTTAAAGGAAATAAAATGATAGGTCACAGAAATCAGGCCAGCATTTCAAAGCTGATTTCTGGAGGCTTCTGAGGGGCAATCAAGCTCTCCAGGGCCAGGTCTTGTGGGAGGGGGAGAGTGCGGAGGCCAGCAGTGTCTTTGTCCTGCCCATTCATTACCCAAACCTAAGTGTGGGCCCCAGAACAGGTCTTCTGTTTTTCTTTTTCGTGGAAATTCATCATTTATGTTGTGTTAGTATTTAGTAAAAACCAAAATAATAATAGACTTGGTCTTCCTTGGCGCCCAGGGAATTTCACTCTCCAACTCTTCCAGTCCTTCCAGTGCTTGCTTCTGTCGTCTTCGCCTGCCCCACTTTCTCTACCAACCAGAAGGGATTAGATGTCCCCCGGACTTGGCTTTGACCCAGCCCTCTTGTCTTGAAAGTCTCTCGTAGTGATCTTACCCACTTCGAAGGCTTCAGTAGAGGGGAGGTTGTTTAATAGGAATGTGTGTGACCTAGAAAAAGGAACAGATGATGCCTTAAGCCTTTCTGTGCCGGAGACCCCTGTGGCAGTCAGATGAAGCAGGGGGCCCCCTTCCTTGGAAAATGGTTTTAAATTAAAATACCTTGAATTGCAAAGGTGACCAATAATGCTGAGTAACGTTATCAAAATATTTAAAAGAAACAAATTTGGGACCTATTCCATAATAATTCATGAAATCACGAGATCTGACGACTACCATAATTTCAAAGTAGTGGTGAGTGCTTGGAGATGTCAGCAGTAACAGTAGCATGGTCTAAAAATCCTTAATGGTGGCAGAATCACAGGTTCTTCTGATCTCCTGTGATTGTTATGGCCTGTGTTTTTTCTTTATGGAAAGTATTACAGACGTTCCCCTGTTTTTCTCCATTGACCCCCTCGGCCCCGTACCCACAGGCCTCCAGGCCTTCACCTCACTATTGTCTGAGTCCCTGGGATAGGCACATGTGCCTAAAAGTTCTTTAGTTACTCTTTTCCCACCTCACCCCCCTTTATGGCCTATGTTTATAACTGAAGGGGGTGTTAAATTGCAGTTAGAGATGAGGGGAAATGCAGATCAAGCTCCTAGATCCCCCTGAATTCCATGGATCCAAGGTTAAGGACACCTAGTCTAAAGATTTCTAAGAGAGATTGGGAATCCTTATTTGTACGCCCATCAGAAGCCTCGGGGGATGATGTGGAGTCATCTACAATTATACAATCACTCTGCATTATTATTTCCTATTCTGTTTAACTGGGCTTCATGCGTCTCCTCTTGTCTTTCTCAGCGTGTCTTTTATATTGAAGTAAAATTGAAACTAGTCAGTTCTGTTTGTTAGCAGCTGTTGTATTTTGGTTTGGGTTGTTTGGGAAGATTCTTTTTTGTTTGGTTTTAAAAGATGTTCATTAGTTGTAAGGGATGTTGAAACTGCTTCAAAGGCTTCAGATAGGAGGTAGAGTCTAAGAAATGGTGAAACAAGAGCAAGACGTGTAACTAGATGGGCAGTGCATCATCTATAGAAACACTGGGGCGTGGGCAGAGAGGAAACATTAATTCTGGTTGGGGGCACCTAGCTGGAGGAAGTGGGACTTGAAATGAGCCTTCAGAGCTTTAATTTTTATGGTCAAGCTGGAAGAGAAAGGAATTCTCTAGAGGGGAGCGCTTGTAAAATACAGTGTATTTGGATATTTGTGAGTTGGTGAGCCCAGGGGAGTGTGAGGCAGGAGAATTATGGCAGGAGCTCGCAATGGTGGGGGGAGGGGGTTGACTGGATCCCAAAATTATGGCTATCTCTGAGTCACACAGCAAACCCCATTCTGGCTATGACATTCATCAGACAGACAAGGACATTTCACTAAGAGCACTGTTTTTGTTTTTTTTAAAAAACTGGCAAAATGGAAAAAGTCTCATTAATAGAAACAATTCACAGTTTTACTAAGAAGTGCTAGATTCCATGTTGGAACCTAAAATCCATTCTGTAAGTATTTCAAGTATTTCTTGAGCCCTAATTATGTATCTGGCACTGAGGATGCCCAGCTATGATTAAAACAGATCTGTGTTCTGGGAGCACTTATAGGTATCTTTATAAGAGATTTCCCATACAGAGTTCAGGAGAATTTACATTTCTTAAGCTGGAAACAAATTGTTCATTTCTTTATTAAAATGTTATGGGTCACCTGGCTAAGTCAGAAGTAAAAACCATGTAGCCTTAATTGCAACACCAAGGAGAGCCAGGCATCGTGAATATGTTGTCAATATATAAGGACATATAAAAAGAGCAAACACATTTATTAGGATAGTGCTGATCATAGTTTATTTAGGGCCCTATTATTACTGTTATTTTCTACATTCCTTATCTCCATCTTTAATAAAGCCCCGAAACAGGTTTAAAATTTCCTTTTCAGTATCATTTTATGCCTTAGGCTGGGAAGCATCAATAGAGGTGTTAAGCAATAATCCTAACATTTATTATTTCATTTTCTAATAGTAATAAAACTAACAATATTTTAGCTTATAAACTAGTTCTAATATATACCCAATATTGTGCTAGAAATGGAGATGTGCATAACTTAATTTACGATCTCAAGTAGCTCACAGAAGTAGTATCTTATATATGAGTTGCATTGCTATAGGGAATAAAAATAAATATATTATTAGAGGCAGGTGCTTATGTAGGAAGCTCTGAATTTTTTTTCAAGGCTAGTTTGAAACTGGACCTTAGGGACATATACCATGAATTTATGAAATACGAATCCTAACTGGGGAAAACAGGGCATAAACTCTTGGAACACAGTAGATTAGCATAGGGGAGATGCTAAAAGGACTTTGGCAGAAACTGTAAAGTATGAGCAATGTATACATTCGGAAAGAATAAAGGGTGTTTCTCAGATGTCTCTGTATGCATGTACAAAGATCTGTGGCTTCCAATTTGACTAGATCTTGTTTTTGTCTGTTTTTCAAAATCTTTTCTAAGAGTTGCCCTGGTGGAAAATATTCCTGAAGGCCTTAACTATTCAGAAAATGCACCCTTTCACTTATCACTTTTCCAAGGCTGGATGAATTTACTCAACATGGCCCAAAAGTCTGTTGACATAGTGTCTTCCCATTGGGACCTCAACCACAGTCATCCATCAGCGTGCCAGGTAAGCCGCGTCCTCTGCGTGTGTGATGATTTTACTGATGTGCATTTTACGCCACTTAGTGTTCTTGCCTCCACTTCTCAAGGTCAAGCTCATTGTTTAGCCTGCCGTCACCCGTGGTACATGTACATCGTTGCATTTATGTGTATGTGCTGTCGTTAGTCGTATGTTGCTCAGCCCCTGCTAGGATGCCTGGATTGCAAGGGCAAAATCATGTTTTATCTTTGCATCTCTATAAGCATTGATGTGTTGGACAACTTTGGGGGGCACCGTTTACATCATGGTACCTGTTGATGGCGCACCCCAGAACTCTTCTTTGCACAACATGCTTGTGTACACTTCTAATCCCGTAACCGCTTGCTGAGACATTTGGTTGGTTATGGGTGTCATAATTTGCCTTTGGGACCCAGAGCCAGCTTTTTTAATAGTAGAGTCAAACTTTCCAGTATATTTGTGTATTCTTTTTCTTTAATTTTTTTTATTTTTCAATTTCACTTGACATACAATATTATATTAGTTTCACGTGAACAACATAGTGATTAGACATTTATATAACCTGCCAATTGATCACCCCAATAAATCTAGTACCCATCTGACACCACACGTAGTGATCCAGGGGGTCGTTTTGGAAAATACGAGTCAGGATCCTGTCTCTGCTCAGTAAGTGCTAGCAGATGCTTAGAAAGACTGTGGAAACGAGCCCGAAGAGGAGCTTAGGCTTCCTTTCCTCCTGGTTAGCTGTGTCACCTCGAGCAAGATGCTGAACTCTCTGTGCCTCAGTTTCCTCATCAGCAAAATCAGGGTGATTACAGAACCTATCTCATAGGTTATTGTGCAGGTTCAGTTGGTTAATATACATAATATAGAAGAGTGTTTGACTGTTTTAGTGCCTATATAAGTGTTTATTGCTGTCATGAATGTCGTCATTCACATTCGCTTGTTTGTATACACACTGTGACTCTAGTTCAAGTTCAGTTGTACTAATGAGCTCTTATTATCGGCCTTAGGCTATGCTGGAAGCTGGGATGGTTACCTTGTGAAATTAAAAGGGAGTATAATTTCTGCAAGTGTGAGATTCTGCATAGTTAAGAAGGACTTAGCAGGTCATTTCATAATGACTTTCACTTGATTTATTACTTACAACTCTTTACGTGCACACACAGTTCCGCTCCCATCCATCTGCGCAAGCAGCTCTTGGTTGACACATCCCTGCAGAAGTATCTGCTCTGTTTGGTGAAGACCTGGGGTGACTGACCTCCAAAATTTCAACTTCCATTAAGGGAGCTTAAGGGAATTTTACCCAGAATACTAATTCAAGTCATTCAACGGGGTTTAAGTTTAAAAAAAAAATTTTTTAGTGGAGAAAGAACAATGGGCATATTTTTAAAGTAGATTCTTACCTTCCTCTCCCAGCTGGGCAGTTTTCAACCATGACTACCTGGCCACAATAACCTGGGGAGCGATGGAAATATACTAATGCCAGCCCCACCCCACAGTTAAATTAGAAAGAATCAGGCGTTGATACTTTTTAAAAGAGGACTTGGGGGTCCATTGGGCAGCCAGGATTGAGAATCAGTGCCTTAAACCACTCCAGTCTAATAAACATTGTTTGATTTTTATAGATTTCAAGACAAGGGCCAGATTGGTTCCCTCACCCATCCAGTTTGTCAACCCAGTTTTACCTGTTTCAGTTTAATCCAGTTTTTTCCTACTGTTCTCTTGGCGATGGTGAGAAAGAGCAGCAACTTGAGTTTGAATATTCTACATATTCCTGGCCTCCAGGGCCAGTGTCCTATTAATTCTTGTAGCTTTTTTTTTGTCTGGCACGTGGCCAGGAAGAGACGGGATTGCTTGTGGATTTACAACAGATTTCTCTCCAGCCTTATCTCCAGGCTAAATATTATTTCAGCAAAACTGGTGCAGTGTCAGCGTGAAAATTACATAACCTTGTGGAAAGAGTGTCCCCGGTTTTCAAAATAGCATCGTTTCCCTGTTCCCCAAAATCGACACTCAGCAAATACATATAAATTAGCATTCTCCCATTTGAAATGTGGCTACAACATCATTTTCAATGTGCCTTTATTGAACAAGAGTTTATGAAGGTTCTGGGCTGTTTGCTGGGGATACAAAATCCAATAAGCATGGTCCCCACCCCTTTCTGGTAGTGTGGTGGGGAGGCCCACAAAGCAAAGGTGGGAGGGCGGGGCCTGCAGGCTGGGGAGGGGTGGCCTTGGCCTTGGCCTTGGCCGAGCAGCTGAGCTCTGCTCCTGTGAAGCCCTGTCCCCCTCAGCGCTGTTCTTTCTTGGTGCATTGCTGTCGCTTCTCCACGCTTCCATTTCCCCATCTGTTGAGTAATCCTAATTATGTTCTTGCTCGCTCCCCAGTATATTTCCAAGGGAAATCATCATTCTGCTATAAACTCATAAGCACTATGATTAGCAGGAGTTTAACCTCTTTAATTCTTTTTTAAATCCAATCATATGGACATGAATAAATCATGAGGCCAGACAGTCTTCCCAGTGATTTGGATTAAATAATGACTTTTCTTTAAAGTTGTTTACCTATACTCTTGAGTGTTTTCCCTCTGGATCTTCGTCTCTGGGTTTTCCATTTCCCTAAGGTCAAGTTATGGTTTTGGAACTTTCTTTGAAAAAGAATAGATTGGATTCCTTTTCTCGTTATAATAATAATAGCTTCTTACTATAGAAAGTTTGGAAACTATGGAGAAGCAGAGGAGAAACAAAATTATCCATCAACAAAAAATGTTTTAATATTTTTATATTTTACACAGATTTACATATGCTTATATTGTATAAAGAAATGCATACCTTAATTTTGAACTTAACATTACACCATGAACACCTTTCTGTGTTATTAGAAACACTGGTAAACATTATTTTAAACTGGCCGCATAATACACAATATAGTGGATGCACCAGATTAAATTTCTCTATTATTGAATATTTAAGCTATTCTTTTTGTCCATTTCTGAATACATTCTGCTGCAGTAAATATCTCTGTGCCAAGCATTGTTTTCTTTTTTTGTTGTTTTGGGGGTTTTCGTTCGTTTAATTTTGTAAAAAGTTGACTTTCTTTGTAACTTTTCTGCCTTATCTCAGTTATGCCATTTTGGCGTCCTAAAGCGTTGTTTTCTTCTGGCCCATTTTCCCAGGGTTAATTCTCAGGAGCAGAGGGCTGAGTCTGAGCTGCTTTCTTTTTTAAAGAACTTTTTTTTATTTTGAGAGAGAGAGGAAGGGAGAGGGAGAGAGAATGAAGCGTAGACCAGCCGCCTGCCACACGCCTCTCACCGGGGATCGAGTCCCATTGATTTGCCCGACCGGGAATCGAACCGGCAACCTTTCAGTGCACAGGGTGACGCCCAGCCACCCAAGCCATACCGGCCAGGGCTGAGCTGCTTTCTTAGGACCTTGGGACTCCAGGGAGAATGTAGAACAATCCTCATAGTTGCTCCTGGGGAGGCTGGGATCATTAGGAGTGAGGCCTAGAAGGAATTCTGCCTCCTTTCTAGGGGCTTGGGGGGACTCTGCCCACTTGAAACAAGTGACTGTGGAGGCGCTGAGTGTTTGGCATGTCCTGGTGTCCCTCCCTGGCCGCAGACACATCCCTTTCTCTGCAGCAGGAGCGTCGATTGGCTGTGCCATCACACGCTTCCAGACACTGCCATCTGGCACTGCCAAGTGGCGCTGCCAAGGTCACATTGCCCGATTGCCTTTGCAGCCGGCCTAAACGCTGATGCACCCGTGAACCTACTTTCTAGCTGCGGTGAGAAGCCAGCCGCCGAGGGCCCTGTTTCAAACAATGCTCCTGATATGAAGTCCTCGCTATTCCCTGGCCCATTATTGTCACGATGAGCTTACTCAGCTCTCTTCACCTGCCCCTGGCCAGGATGGCTCCGTTCATACCTACGGGGTGCGTAATTGTGATCATGGTCATTAGGCAAGGCCTTGACGATTCGGTCAGAATAATTAAATCCCCTCCTGGGATGGAACCTGGGATGCAGAGACTGTCTGCAGGCATCCGGCAGCAATCCTTGTTGCTCACTGCCCCAAAGTGGGGGTCCCGTACCAAGTTCCTGAGCTGTGACTGGTCCAGGAGCTCAGGACATGTGTGAACTGAGGTAATGGGCCTCATCTCCCGGCTTCAGATGAGAAATTCATATTCCACAGGCGTTTCCCCAGGAGCTGCTGGGACTCGGGCCACCATCCCCAACTCTACTGTCTCTCTCAAGCCCAGGCCTCCCCATCAGGTTCATCACAAATACCTGAGATCCTTCCATTTGTTGGATTTCCATTGACACGACTCTCAGGCCACACGTCTCACCAAACCAGCCTTCTGATTGTTTTTGCAGCCTCCAGTCTTGCCCTGCTTCATGCCTTCTCCAGTTTGCAGTCAGACGGCTCCCTCC